ATCGTGTGTCGCGCTGTCACTCAACATGGCTTCACGAATCGCGAAACCGAAAGGCAAGAGGCAGGAGGGACCCTGACTGGGAGACAGAGGAAATGTTGGGATGAACAAATATTACCGAAGCACAAGCTTCCACATCGCTTTGTTAACGTAGAGAACCTCACCTCACCTCTCAGTGGTGCCTGGTTACCCTCTGCTCACTTGATACACCCACACATCAGGTCACATAGAGCCCAGCAGGACGCTTCTTGTGATTCCTCGAGAACCTACAAGTGAAATAGACTGCGTAGAGTTAGACTATTTAGTACACAGAAATTGCCTTACTTGGCTCACGGCTCTGGTGACTCACTGCTACGGTGACTCCCCAGTAAGGCCTGCTTCTCGCTCCGCCTCTGCTTCTTGCTCCTCTGCTTCTTGCTCCTCTACTCCCCCACCATGGCGTCGCGCCGATCAGCCGTCGCAGCAACGGCGACGAGCAATAGTGGGGCCGTCGCGCTGACGATGCACCAGCACGGCAAGTCGCGCGTGCGGCTGGGGCGCGTGTGGCGGCGCGGCGGCGAGCACGCGATGGTGGAGTGGAGCATCGACATCGCGCTCGCCTCGCAGGCCGACGCGTCGTTCCTCGGCGACGATTGCTCCGCGGTCGTCGCGACGGATACAATGAAGAACACGGTACGGGCTTGATGATATGATGCACGCAGTGCAGTGCGGTTCTGTTGTGTGCAGTGCGGTGATGCGCAGTGCAGTGCGCTGATGAGGCACGCAGTGCGGTGATGCGAGCACGCGATGGTGGAGTGGAGCATCGACATCGCGCTCGCCTCGCAGGCCGACGCGTCGTTCCTCGGCGACGACTGCTCCGCTGTCGTCGCCACCGACACCATGAAGAACACGGTGCGGTGCTGAGGCGCGCAGTGCGTGCGAGGATGTTGAAGTGCGGGGATGCGCGCTGTGTGGGGATGCGCGCTGTACGGGGATGCGCGCTGTGTGGGGATGCGCGCTGTACGGGGATGCGCGCTGTGTGGGGTTGCGCGCTGTGTGGGGATGCGCGCTGTGTGGGGATGCGCGCTGTGTGGGGATGCGCGCTGTGTGGGGATGCGCGCTGTGTGGGGATGCGCGCTGTATGTTGATATGCGAGGTGTGCTGATGCGCGCAGTATGATGGTGATGAGGCACGCAGAAATGCTCGCGGTGTGTTGAAACATGGTGTGGTGATGCGCGTAGTGAGGGGGAGCTCGCAGTATGATGGGTGACGAGGCGCACAGAACGGTGCACAGTGCGGTGATGCTGGGCTAAACTCGGTGAAGGAAAAGAGTCGAGGAGAATGAGTGGTTGTCAAAAATTTCTCTCCTCGTGCCATGCATGCCATGACCAGCGCTATGAGCGCCAAGTGGGGACGCACCTGAGGCGAGTGGGGACGCACCTGAGGTATCTCGTCACGGAGAGTGAGGTCGCAAAGCAAATGGAGGGGCTTCTCCTCACTTGATGCGACCTTGCTTCCGAGTGCTGGCGTGTCACACATGACATGACCTGACACATGGCTAACCCGTTACACACTTGCCCCGTTACACACATGATGTGCGTACCTCCACTGCACGGTATGGCTGCGAGTAGCTGTCCAATAAGTAAGGGTGCTAGTAGCTTGTCGCGAGTGGCATCTCTCTGCTCTCACTTGCTCTGAGGTTGCGTCTCCGTTTCTGCTGCTTCATGCTTCCACCCATGCACGTATGTGCTGGGGTGAGGAAACACTGCTCCAGCGGTTTTCCAGCCACAAAAAACTTGTCTAACTTCACATCGTTTTCTGCCTTGTTGGTGCTTCCATGTATACAGGTGTACGTGCTGGCGAAGCAGTGCACCAGCGAGTTACCACCAGAGCTGTTCGCCATAAAGCTGGGCCGCCACTTCGTGTCCTTCTATGACGTGGTAGGCTCGCCCACTCACTGACATGCACACATGCACCTGTGTGCTCGTTTCCCCCCGTCGCTTCCCCCCATCGCTTCCCCCCATCGCTTCCCCCCATCGCTTCCCCCCATCGCTTCCCCCCATCGCTTCCCCCCATCGCTTCCCCCCATCGCTCGCTCCCCCCCATCGCTTCCCCTCACTGCTCCCCCCATTGCTTTCCACACATGCCATGCCACCATGCACCCACCAACCCCGGCCCCCACCCGCCCACCAGGTGACAGCAGCGTCTATTCGCGTTGTGGAGCAATCGTGGCAGCGCGTGCACGTGGGGGGCCGGCTGCACGACCACGGTAGGCTGTGGTGGGGTGCTGTGCGGTATGGTGGTGAGGGTTCGGGTAAGTTGGGGTTTGGGTTATTGTTGTGTGTTGTGGTGTGGTGTGCGGTGGGGTGGGTATTGGGGAGCGCGCGGGGTGGCCGCATGTCCATGGTAAGGGATATGTGTGTCCACTCGATGGTGTACGGCTCTCGGAGAATGGACGTGCATTCAGACAGCACCATGCTGCACTGCTGTGCCCTGCTCCATGTTTTACTGCTTAGCTCTCTCATACCATGGCATCGCATGTCTTGGCATGGTATTGCATGGCACGGCATCGCAGGGTTCACGCTGGGCAGGGAGAGGCGGGTGGCGGAGGTGGAGGTGGATGCAGCGGGGCGGCCCCGAGTGAAGGCTGGCGTGGAAGAATACTCGGTGCTCAAGACGACCCAGGTGAGGAGCAGGGGAGGGGGGGGCAGCGATGATGCACTGCGGCAGGGAGAGGCGCGTGGCAGCAGTGGCCAAGAGTGGAGGTTGAGAGAGCAGTGAGGGGACTCGTCAGGTGGTGCCACACATTACTGGTAACTGCCATCGCTATAGTTACAGCTCGCCAACCAGACACTCGAGCAGCAAAGCAAGCCATAAAGAGGCCGATTTTTCCACTGGCATCGTTCAGCTGTCCCAACGCGTAAAAGAGAGGCAGGTTCTTGCTGCCAAGGAGAGCGTATTCACGGGTGAATTCCGAATCGACTTCAACAGCACGGGACAGGGGACAGGCGAGAGGGAGCCACAGCCTTATCAATTTCAGTGCTGTCCTTTTCCCACTGCTCTCTGCGCTCTTCTCTCTTCTCTCTGCTTGACTCCCCCCCTCAAATCCCCCAGTCTGGCTTTGAGGGCTTCATACGCGATCAGAACACACTGCTGCCAGACACAAGGGAGCGCATCCTCGCCACCACAGTGCAGGCCACGTGGAGGTGAGCAGTGAGTGCCACGTGGAGGTGAGAAGTGTGCCATGAATACCACGTGAAGGTGCGCACATCTCTGCCTCACACCACTCGTTTTCTCTGACCACCCCTTCTCTGACCACCCTTTCTCTGATCACCCCTTCTCTGACCACCCCTTCTCTGATCACCCCTTCTCTGACCACCCCTTCTTTGATCACCCCTTCTCTGACCACCCCTTCTCTGACCACCCCTTCTCTGACCACCCCTTCTCTGACCACCCCTACTCTGACCACCCCTTCTCTGACCACGCATACCCTCCCTCTCAACCAATCCTTCTGATATCCCTTTCCTCTCTCACTCACTCCCACCCACAGCTACTCACGTGACCCGCCATGCTTCAATGCGGCCTACTCAGCAGCCAAGGCAGCCCTCACAGACACTTTCTTCGGCCCGCCTCAAGGGGGTGTGTACAGCCCCTCAGTGCAGCGCACACTCTACCTCATGGGCGAGGAGGTGCTGTCACGGTGAGAAGGATGGGGAAGAGGGGTGTGTGACAGCTTATCTTTTTTTGCCTATCCATCTGTAACGCATCTTGAATGTACCTCTCTCACTGCATGCAACCGTCAGAGTGCCTTCTTTTCTATAATGAGGCAGACAGCGTGCATCTTTCTCTATAGTGCATCGCTTGTGCCCGCCCCTTCTCTACATAACAGATCTGCATGTTCCTCTCTCCACAACACACCTTGGTTAAGACATGTCCCTGTCTCTCCCTCCACATCACATCTCGCATGCAATTCCCTCGCTGCACTGATACACCCACCAGAGTGCCAGAAGCAGACAGCGTGCATCTCAAGCTGCCCAATCTGCACTTCATCCCCGTCAACCTGCCAGGCATCGGCCTCAAGGTGCGTTACATGGCTGACAAAAACCGTTAAGCAGCTAAGTTCTCAATTACCCTCTCACTGCCGTCACTCCCCTCCCACTCCCCTCTTAACGCCCTCTCACTCCCCTCTCACTCCCCTCTCACTCCCCTCTCACTCCCCTCTCACTCCCCTCTCACTGCCCCTTATTTTGAGGATGACGTGTATCCCAGCGAGCCCCACGGCAGCATCGATCGAGGCGTGTGTGTGACCCTGCACCCTCACTCTTCCCCACACAACCCCCGACCCCTTCCCACCCCCACCCCCCTCCGTTTGCCGCTCTCTGCCAGTTTGAGGATGACGTGTATCTGCCCACCAGCGAGCCCCACGGCAGCATCGAGGCGTGTGTATCCCGCAAGACAGGAGCGCTTACAGCAAGGCTTTAAGGCACAAGTGCCTGCTGCAAGGTTTGAAGGCAGCAGCGAACGCAGCAAAGCTTCGAGGCAGCAGTGCTTGCAGCAAGGCTTTATGGCAGCACTGTCACATATGGGGTCGAGACGTACATTACCCACATCGCGACGAGATGCCCGCTGCACGCATCTCGCCATCCCCCTCTCCCACACGCATCTCCCCTGGCCAAGAGCCCATAGCCCATGGGTGGTTGCAATGCAGTGTGTGTAAGGTGCCAGGCTGCCTGTAGGCAGCATGCACTGGTGGGCATCTGCTGCTGTACAGAGCGATCATGTATGGTTGTACACTTGTAATGGCATGATGTGTCATGTCACGTGTCAGTTTATTTTACATAAAACTCTGCACATGTACCGTAGTTTGTACATATGCAACACTAGGATACAGTCAACACACCAGGAATGTTTGGACAGCCAATAAATGGAGGCCAATCGATCCATCACCACCCTGGTCACTCTAGTTGGACCATGAAGAGATGATCAAGCATGCAAACAACAGGATCTGCATGGGTGCCTTGAGTTCAGTGGAGCATCATCCGCATTCTGGCGGACCTAACATATGGGATGTCGTCAATCCACCACCACTCCGTCACCCTCCCCACGTCGACCAGCAAGGGCTCTTTCAGCTTGGGCAGCCAACGGAGTGACCCGGGCAGAGAGTTCAGCTCCGGCAAATAGCTCAGCTCCAGCGTTTCAAGGTTTTCCAGCTGCCCGAGTGACTTGGGCAGCACAGATAACTTATCCATGTATTCGAGCTTCAGGAACCTGAGGTTCTGCAGCCGTCCGAGGGATTCTGGCAGGCTGGAGAGGCCGTGCATGAGGGTGATGGTGAGGGACGAGAGGGCAGCGAGCGTGGAGAAAGAATCAGGGAGAGAGGCGATCTGTGAGGAACCACTCAGTGTTAGGCTGGTGAGCGACGCCAGGCCCCACGGCTGCTGTGCGCTGCGCTGCTCCGTGCTGTGCTGTGGCTGTGGCTGTGGCTGTGGCTGTGGCTGTGGCTGTGGCTGTGGCTGTGGCTGTGGCTCGGTGGACTTATCGGTATGAGTGCAAGAAGTGGTGGGGCCAGCAGCAGTGGCTGTATGAGCGACAGTGGCAGAAGCAGGAGCAGGGTCAAGAGGAGGACTACGCACAAGGTCAGGAGAAGCGGCAGGATCAATGGGGAGAGCAGAAGCGAGGGAGCAGGTGAGGGCTAATGCGGGTTGCGGAGCAAAGAGAGGCTCTAGGGACTGGAGGCGAGTGCAGGCGGCCATATCGAGCTCCTCCAGGCGCGTCAGCATGGCCAGCTGGGAGGGCAGCCGCCTCAGTTCTCTGCAGCCGCACAGGTGAAGCTGCTCCACGCTGTGCCTCGCACTCCCCGTGCACAGGCTTTCGGGCAGCTCCAGCAGGCCCACCTGCTCGATTCTCATCGTTTTCAGCCGCTGTAAAGTGCCCACGCTCTCGGGCAGAGCACGGAGGTTGGGCAGCCTGTCAAGTTTTAGGGTTTCAAGGTGTATCAGGGCTCCGAGGTTATCAGGAAGAGAGGTGAGTGCAGTGCATGAGTGGATGGAGAGGGAGGAGATGGGGAGGGAGCTGATGGTTTCTGGCAGCTGCAGCAATCCCACATGATTGAGTTCCAACGAACTCAATTGCTTTAGATCCCCCACACTCTCAGGCAGGCAGCGGAGTTTCGGCAGGTCGTAGAGCGTTAAATTTCGAAGCTGTACGAGGGCTCCAAGGTTATCAGGAAGGGAGGTGAGCAGATCGCATGTGCGGACGCAGAGCGAGGAGAGGGGGAGGGAGCAGATGGTGTCCGGCAGGCTCTGGACGGACACCCAGCGGAGCGAAAGCGTCTTCAATCGCGTCATCGCCCCCATCACATGCTCTGGCATGCGCTTCAACTTGTCGGACAGCAGCGAGAAGGAACCAAGGCTGGTGAGATGCTGAAAGGAATCCGGAATCGACTCCAACATTTCCATGTCTATATCTACGTCTTGCAATTGCGGTAAGTAACCGATCGAAGGAGGGAGGTGAGCGAGAGAGGGGTGGGTGAGCTTCAAGCGTCGGAGGTTGGTGAGGCTGCTGATGGAATCCGGGAGCCCTTGGAACGCCGATCCCGTTTCAACGCGGAGTTCCTGCAGCCGCTGCAGCGCGCCGATGCTTTCAGGCGGCAGGACGAGTTGCTCGAATCGATCCTCGTCTTTATCGACGGCGCGGCAGAGATGGAGGGTTGTGAGGTCGGAGAGGAGAGAGACGGCGGGCGGGAGGTGCGGGAGCAGGTGGAGGGTGAGCAGGCGGAGGTCGCGGAGCTTGCGACAGCCATGGAAGAGAGACGAGAGGCCGTTGCAAGTGACGTGCATGATGCGAAGCTGGAAGCCTACGGAGAGATGTGTCAAATGCGGACACGTGGCGCCCAGGCATTGGAAGAGAGCATCGCCTTTCGCATCCAGAACGCAATACTCTTTTAGCTCGAGGTGCGTGAGCGAGGAAAAGCGGCGAATCGTGTCTGGGAGAGCGGAGAAGTGGATCGTAGATTTGAATTGAAGGTGCGTGAGCGAGACGCGCGCTATGGCGTACCATCGCTTGGAGACCAGCGCGTAATGGAAGGAGTCGCGCGTTAGCGAGCGCAGCAAGAGCGAGAGAAGGTAATCGTCGGATAGTACCTTCGCGATCGGCGACGGAGAAGGCGAAGGGGCCCAGAAGGCGGGGAAGATGGGAGACGGCAGTAACGACATGGTCAAAATTGTATGATCTCGACGGAATTACTGAAGTGGATAGATGGGGCTCACGAATAGCTAGTCCTATCGTATGGAACACAGCATCGAGATGGCAGAAATTGCTTTGAGGTGGTGTGAGCAGAAGGGTCCGTTAGGACGCGTCACCTGAACGACGATCCTGCAAAAATCGATCTTTCACCGCACTGGAAACCTGCGTATTGCGTTCAAATGTTCTAGACGTTTTTTGAACCACGAAAATTTTCGATCCTACGTAGGATCGATCGCAGGATCGGCGTTCAGGTGACGCGTCCTTAGTTCATCGCAAAAACAGGGGGAATTTAGTTTTCCACTCGTAAGCCAGTCGCAACCCAATCCTGGGGTCAAACCTATCGCTCGCGAGTGGCAAGCGACTTTGTACACCCTGATGCTCGCGAATTTGCCCACCGTCCTCACTCCCAGGTGCACGCGACAGTCCAAGCGGTCAGCTTTTATGGCCAACGGCCCACTTGATACACGCCCAATTAAAGCCCTTTTACCTCCCTTTCAACTGTTAGGCCCGACGGCCTAAGTCTTCTTTAGCGGGGTCGACTAAGTCGAGGATGAAACGCGGCGGAAGACTTTGGCGAAAGAACTATTGGCGAAAGAGGCGAAGAAGTTACTGAGTAATTGAAGAAGAGTTGAATGAGAATTGGTTGATAATGGCAAGTACAAGCAAGGTTTATATAGCGAACAAGAGAGAATGTTGGAAAGTAGTTTGTGGGACAAGGAATTGGAATGCTAGAAAGGTAGAGTGCCACGTGGCACAAGGAAATCTAGGAAATCTTAAAGGGATTGGATGAAGATAGGGTTGGGATAAGGTTGGGGGTCTGTTTATGGTAAACTACCCTTGAACACTACCCCGTAACACTACCCCCCTCCCAAGGAGGCGACGTCCGCGGCGCCTGCAGACTGAAGGTATGCTTTGAGGCAAGCGTTGTCGGGAGACAGCGAGGACGAAGGAACCCAGCTGTCGTCGGCTGCATCGTAACCACGCCAACGAACCAAGAAGTCGATGAAAGAGACACCCCCCTGGAGACGGCGACGGTGCCTGAGGATGCGCTGGATCTGATAGTCGGGCTCGTCGGTGTCAACAGCTACCGGCAGTGGAGTGCGATCACGGCCCGAGAAGGTGGAGTTGGGATCGGTGTATGGACGAAGGAGAGACACGTGGAATGACGGGTGCATGCGGAAATGAGCAGGAAGGCGAAGGCGGTATGCGACATGACCAAGTGCGCGCTCAATGACAAATGGACCAATGAAACGTGGGCGAAGCTTGCCGTCCTGTGGCAGTCGGAGGTTGCGGCTGTCCAAAAGAACACGGTCGCCAACTGCGAACGACACCTCACGACGACTGCGGTTGGTGGTGCGTGCCATGCGTGCATTTGCGAGCTCAAGGTGCTTCCTCACGTGGTCGTGAATGAAGGTGAGATGCTGGTGGAAGTTGTCCGCACGAGGGACAGTGGGTGTGAGATCGACACGAGTGGGGACATTGGGGTGCTGACCGTACAGTGCGAAGAACGGTGACATGCCTGTGGCGGAGTGGTGCGTGTTGTTGTATGCGAACTCGGCCATGCTCAGCTTCTTGTCCCATGCTGCTGCGTCGTGCATCGTGATGCTGTGAAGGATTTGCTCCAGTGTCTGGTTCACACGCTCAGTCTGTCCGCCCGTCTCTGGATGGTATGCTGACGACATGGCTAAGCGAGTCCCAAACAGTGCGAAAAGCTGCTTCCAGAACTTCGAAGTGAAACGAGGGTCGCGGTCTGAGATGATGGAATCGGGAACCCCGTGCAGTCGGACTACGTTATCTACGAACAGCGTCGCGGCTTCCTCTGCTGTGACCTGGCCGTGCGTGGGGATGAAGTGCGCTGCTCGAGAAAACTTGTCGACTACAACGAAGATGGCGTCGTGACCCCTAACTGTGCGCGGTAAAGCCATGATGAAATCCATGGTAACTACCTGCCAAGGGCGGTCGGGCGGTGGAATCGGCTGCAAGAGTCCTGCTTTGCGCTGGCGAGAGGACTTCGTACGCTGACACGTGTCGCACGAGCGAATGTAATCCTCTACGTCTGCTGCAAGCCCTGGCCAGTAGTACGTGCGACTAAGCGTCTTAGCCGTCTTATCTGCTCCAAAGTGACCTGCACTAACTACGTCGTGCGCCTCTGAGAGAAGGAGCTGTCGAAGAGGGCGGTAGGCTGGGACCCAAGTCCGTGCTGTACCCTTCCGTATGTAGACACTACCCTGCACCTCTGCTCCTGCGGGCGGTTGCGGTGTGAAGTCGGGATCTACTGTGTAACCGTGCTCGAAGAGTGCTGTGAGAAGTGGATGGCCGGCAGTGACTGTGAGACTAGCGAGCTGGCAACTAGGGCGAGTGAGCGGATCTGCTGGGTTGCGAACGCCTGGCTTGTACTCTATCCTGTAGTGGAAACTCCCCTCCATGAACTCCATCCATCTAGCCTGGCGACGACTCAGCTGCGGCTGCGACTTGAGGAAACGAAGCGAACAGTGGTCCGTGCGTATAACACTCTACGCCTTATACGCATGGATGATCGCGAGCGCCTCCTTGTCGTGTATGGGATAGTTCAACTCCGCTCCCCTCAGCTTACGCGACTCGTACGCGATCGGCTGCAACCTGCGTCCCTGGTCCTGAAGGGTTGATCCCCTCAGCACTGCTCCTATGGCCTGATCTGAAGCATCGGTCACTACGACATACGGGCGAGTGGGATCGGGGTACGACAGTGTCGGTGAAGACGTGAGCGACTGCTTCATCTGCTCGAACGCCTGCTGCTGCGCTGGACCCCAAACGTACTCTACGCCCTTCCGAAGTAGGTCGGTGAGTGGACTAGCGATGGAAGCGTATCCCTGAACGAAACGGCGGTAATAGTTTGCGAATCCGAGAAAGCTCTGCAGATCTTTGACTGAGGTCGGTGCTATCCAATCCTGTACTGCTGCGATCTTCTTCGGGTCGGTCCTAATGCCACTAGCGGATACGACGTGACCTAGAAACGTGACTTCGGGGAGGAAAAACTCGCATTTCGACTGCTTCGCGTACAACTGCTCCCTCCTCAAGACCTCGAAGACCTTCTGCAAGTGCTGCACGTGCTCCTCCTTCGTCTTAGAGAACACTAGGATGTCGTCTAGGTAAACTACGACGAACGAACCTAGGAACTCGGAGAGGACTGTGTTCATGAGCGTCTGAAACGTCGCTGGGGCGTTGGTCAAACCGAACGGTAGGACTCTAAACTCGTACAACCCCTGCTTCGTACGAAACGCCGTCTTGTGCTGGTCCTCTGGAACTACGCGAATCTGGTGGTAACCCGAACGAAGGTCGTTCTTGGAAAAGTCTCTAGCGCCCTGCACTGCATCTAGGAGATCCTCTACTCTCGGTACTAGAAATCTGTTCTTGACGGTGGCGGCGTTCAGTGCGCGGTAATCTATGCACATCCGTAACCCTCCGTCTTTCTTAGGCACGAGCAGGATCGGTGCTGCCCAAGGCGATCTAGATGGCTGTATGAACCCCTGCGCGAGAAAGTGCCTAACCTGCTGCGTCATCTCCTCTGTCTCTGCTGGACTCAACCTCCACTGCGGCTTCGCTACTGGCCTGCTCCCCGGCTCCAACTCTATTCGATGGTCTACTGCTCGGCTGGGAGGTAACCCTGGGGGCAACTCGTCGGGGAAGACGTCTGCGAACTCTGCTAACAGTGCACTCACCTCAGCAGGAAGAGTCGCCTTCTCACTAACTGCTGCACTCCCTCCTTTCCCCTCCTCAGCTTCCACCTCCTCAAGGAAAACCGCGAATATCTGTGCCGCTCGCTTCACTAACTGTCGCACACGAACAACATTCATGATAGCTATGGAGGGTGTGGCCCCATCGCTCCACTGTGGCAGCTCCCGGAACTCCCCGTCTACCTTGACGCTGCAGCTTCCCTGAGCCCAATCGAACTGAGTACTAACCGTCCGTAGCCAATCTCTCCCGAAGATGAAATCGTATCCGTCCAGCGTCGCAGAGTTGAAGTCACGCCTAACAGTGATCGGTCCTAGCACTACGCGCAACTTGCGAATGATCGGTCCTATATGGAGTGGCGTCCCATCTACCATGCAAGCGTCTATGAAGTTGATTGAAGTGTCTGCTTCAAGATGGAGACGGCTAACTAATGAAGACAAAACGAAGGAGTAGCTAGCTCCGCTATCGACGAGAATCTTAACAGGAACTCCGCGAAGCTTCCCTAGAAGCACGACTGGACGATCAACAGTGTCTACCCCGTTCTCCGTGGATGAATGCTCCAGAGCTGTCTCATCTACGTCGGTAGACTTGGCGGGTACGGAAGCCTCCACACCAGCTAGCGACCCGCTATCTACTGGCGGTTTCCGTTTCCCTGCTGCCGCTCCTTAAGCTGTGAACAGTCCCGCTTCATGTGACCCGGCTTTTTGCAGTAGTGACAGTTTCCCCTAAATCCGTTACGCTGTGAGCCGTCACTGTTAACTGCACCAATCTCCATGGGCGACGGTCCGTCCCTCGATCGAGCGTCGTTGACCGGATTTCTGTATCCCCTATCGCGATCGTCACGACCCCGTCGGCTTCGTACTGCGTCGACGCGTTCTGCTGCTGCGACTACCGACTCGAAGGTGGACAACCCGTGAATCGCTATGACCTCCGCTATGTCCGGCTTCAACCCTTCGAGGTAGCGATCGCGCATCTCTGCTTCCGTGATGTCGTCTATCTCGTTGCAGATGCTCAAGAACCATCGTGTGTACTCCTGGACGTTGCCTATCTGTCGGAAATGACGCAGACGCTTCCTAGCAGCTTCGGAGGCGTTCACCAAATCGAACCTACTTTTCAGCGCCGCTTCAAATCCTTCCCATGTCGTCGGAACCGTGGTAACACCTAAAGCCAAACTCCCTAGCCTCAAAGCTGCAGCTGCATGCCCCACGCCCTGTTGATGCCCGTCTAACTGAGCCCTCCGTACAGCAGTCTGCGTAAG